AATCATGTAATCAATAATAACAACAATAACTCTGGACCTAGTTGGAAGGTCACTTCTAAGCACACTGCTTAGAAGTGGGTGCTACATAACAATAAACATATCTACTTAAATACATATTTTATTTAAATATATAGTAGTATATTGAAAATATTCAGACCCTAAACGAACTAACCAAATGAAATTATATACCGTATATATGATGTATATACGTACCTTTGGAACCAGGATTACATGACATAACAGAGAAATGCAGAATAGCGTATCAAGGCTTTATTATGTATACAATATATAAGTTGACACCGACGTATTTCCGTGGAATGGTAGCACTAGGATTTCATCGAATGACAGAGGTACGCCATGAAGTTTCAGATAACAAATTAGTCTACGTCCTGGATACGGACAGGAAACATTTCGAAAGAGAAACTATAAATTATATATGAAGAATGACGTCGACGATGTCTGACAAGACGTGTCATCAAATACTAGTATGTATTATATATATGTATTTCGTCCGATAATAACCCTTATGCATGGATTGTTTTTAGGGTTTGTTCATATACAAAAAAACCGTCCATGCGTCTCTCCTCACATCTGTATGTCAAGATTTTCTACCTGAAGAACGCGTTAAATACCAAAATTAAAAAGATATACTCAGATTTATAGTATCTTGAAGCTAAAAAATGTAACTTAGTGTGAATTCACAAAAACACCATTGCACGTTATACTTTACAGAAAATGTGTTATAATATAGTATTAGATACATTATTGTTGTATTGGGTTGCACTTATATTGTTGTGCGAATAAACAAATAAATATTTATAAACTATCAAGGGAACGATAGCCTTTAAGTAAGGTAAGTAATGCTGTCTATTATATCTTATAAGCCACTCGGCCCGGCTTCGCACGGGTGTACATGTATTATATGTACATATAACCTTCCTCTTGAATCACTCTATCTATTAAAAAAATCTGCTTCAAAATCCGTTGCGTAGGTTTAAAGATTAAACTAACTAACATACATAGGGACGGACAGACAGCGACAGCGACTTTGTTTTATACTACGTAAAGAAAATGATGTAGGAAAAACTGGAAAACATTTGTAGTTGAATGAATAAAAAATATAGTCTATATCTAAAGTATCACATCATCCATAGAGGTAGAGGATCTGATTGTTTTTCGGGTTTCTTATATATATACATGTTATTAATTTGTACAGAAACCGAAACGAACAACAGAAAAATCTAAAACTAAATTTCGGTAAAGATTCGGAAAAAATACTGCGATATTAATTAAAACGGTACGTGCCGGAACATTGATCATTTCTATTTAATATTGTAATATTTTAAATATCCACAATTTACTACTACCTATATCTTTCTACTAGCACTACTTTTTTTATCAAGTACCTACATCCGTGGCCCCGAGAATATCATGGCGCTAGTCTCGTCTATTAAAAGATATGCAGTAAGTAGAATTAGTTATTAATATAATGTGATTAAATAAAATTTTTATTTTAGGCCACATTACGAATAATTGTGAATCAACGTGTTCAGATAATGATAGTATTATGAATAATAATAGTATAAAACTTATCATTGAACAAATGAAGACTGTAAAATTACAAAAATAGTATTTAATTCACAAGACAAACGAAATAAAAGTACGATATACACAATGACAATAATACACAATGATACAACCGATGCAATTCTGGCAAAATCAAGCACCAAGACTTCATAAAATAACACGTCTGCAATGCACCTCTATGCATCCACTATACCTACCTGCACTTAGATATAATAGCTACCTTCGGGTATGTGCAACTGAATCGATAGGGTGCAACAAAGCAGTTTTATACATGTTTGTACAGGATGTTAAATAGTAGAATCTAAATATAGGTTCTCAATTTTCTTCTATATATCTAGTTTGAATGAACTTCGAAAAGTGGTTAATCTAGTAGAAAATAGTGATGTCGATGTCGATAATGGTTAAACTTATTATAATTATAACTTAATAAATAAAGGGGATGCCCTTTATTTATTAACTTGTAATTATAATATTTTTACAAAAAAAACACTAAATTTACTACACAAAATAAACGTATTAAACGCACCGATGCAATTCTGTGAACATCCAGCACCAGGATTTCATAATATAACAGAGGGCTGACATGCACTTTCAGCTAACAATACCTACATGCAGATGAAACGGTGCTATGGAACAGAACATATTGAAAGTAAAAGTTATTCCGTATGTGTTACGTAGCATTAACTAAATATTATGTTACGAATTTATTTCAATATAGTTTGAATGGCTACCTAGCTGATTAACTTAAGTCTATGGAAGCGGTAAACACTGCAATAAAATAATATATATAAAACGCCGTGGTTAACAAAACAATAAAAAATATAATTTTACGCTATTGACTTCTATGTATATTTGCACTAAACATAGGTTTACATTGGTTGTTATTGTAATATAATGTCCCATTATCTTTTGCCTCATTAGGCACGCAAAATATATAAATATTAAATATTATTTAATTATTAAATCATTTACATTATTATTAGTTTAAAAACTCGTTTACGGAGGAAAAGCATTTAAGTAATATGTCAGTAACCAATTATTTAATTTATATGTCAATCGTCCTCGTGGAAGTGTCTTTACATCATCTGGTATTTTATTATAATTTTTATTGCCATATGGAAGACATTATTTTTGACCATACTTAATTTTGTTCCATGTATGTACAGCTTCGTTCCTACTCTAGATCTTTGACTTCTTTGGCTCATTTCTTTATTTTTAGGAAATATATCTGGATTTTGAATGACAAATATCACTATTTGTTTAATGTACATTCCAGTTAAGGTCATTAATCTATCTTTTTAAATAGTGGTTTGCACGAGTCCCTGTAGTGGAGTCCGCACATAGCCCTAATGCATTTTTTCTGAATTATAAAAAGACTTTATCTGCGTTTGTTCCATTTCCCCATAGCATCAGATTATACTATACTATGTGGTGTGACATACCCGTAATACGCATTTAACGCTACTTCCAGTGATTCAACTTCTTTAAGACGTCGTAAGGTGAAAACAAATCGATTTAATTTATTAATATGTAGGTATTTTCCAATTAAAATTTTGATCCAACCATACGCATAAATGAGATTACAAATGTGACATCATAACCTTTTTTCAATCAACAAGTCAACTTTTATCTGGAAGAAAGTAGTTTAAGTTAATTTTAGTGTTATTATAAATAAAAATAGTTAATAACTTAATAAGCAGTATATAACTTTATTTAGTTAAGACCACCTAATATCTTTCTTTCTTTCTATTGTAAATATCCATACAAACAGCATCGGTGAAGTTGAAATAAACGCAATGTTCTGCGTTTATTTCCTGGTGTTGGATGTTTAAGGACTTGCAATCAATGCAATGCGCATTGATTGCAAGTCCTTGAACATCCAGCACCAGGATTTCATCAAACAACAGACGTTTGCGATGCACTTTCAGGTAACTTACACCTATTATTACATAATGCTGCTACGTAGTTCAATCTAAATATTGTGTTAACTATTTTGTTCTTTATACCTACCTAGTATGAATAGCAAACGAGCTGAGAGAACAACAGTAAACAATAAGCAAACACTGACAAACAATAAAGCTCCATGGATTACATAAATTACAGATAAAGACGGTAACTTCAGCAAATATAGAAGATAATATAAGGAAATAACGTAAAACACCATTATAAAAAATAGTAGTCACACATGACAGCCAATCTACGATGTTTGCCCATATTATGGATAATAACAATATCCCTGGACAATTCACACAGCGCCATCTAGTCCCAAGGTAATCAGAGATTGTGTTATGCGTATCTAGCAACTGATAGAAATAGTTAAAATTTAAAAATTATATTCGACCTGAATATAATTTTTTCAGTTAGCCCAACATGCTCATCCCTGGGAATTAACTAAGATGTAACTAGTTGGAACCGCATGGAGGTCGACCTGTCTTATTGTTTTTTTTATGGATGATAATGAAATTTTCACACGCCTGGGCTAACAGTTTTCGCTGGCGGCGGGGCACCGAGAATGATAAATATTACAAAATAATTTAAATATAAAATAAACGAATTAACGAATAATGACTATTTGGTTAATTTATATGCGGTAGAAGTGGGAGCGAGAGGTAAAGTAGTGAAATCTTTCTATAATTTTCTAAAATATCTTGTCTCGTTTACAAATGCAATGAAGGCTTCTTTACTAGAACGTGTATATAAAGCTGCAGAGCGGTGACTCTGAGTATGAAGTACGTCGGCAAAGGCCAAGGGGGCCTCTTAAACCTACACCCAGGACAAGTTCCGGGAACTGATCAGAGTTTTCCTCTCTGCCACATGATGGACATCATTACAGTGCAAGTATCAAATTCGAGAACAACATAGTCTTATCTTGAACTAAGAGTTCTCAATTACTTTTATGTGATACAATAATTAAATCAACAGAAATTATTTGAGTCGATATTATTTGTTTAGTGGTGTGAAATACTACTCGTTATACTTTACTTGGTTGCCAACATTAAATTTTTATTGCAAAATTTCTGACTCTCCCTTATGACGACAGAGGGCGGTAATGTGTTAAAATTTTTACATAAGAAGAACTTGCATAGGTAAGTTAATGCAAGTTCTAGTTTTTAGGTAAATGTTGTAATTTTTTTTTATTTTAACCAAGTGTTTAAATTAAAGAATAAAAATTACGCTCTACACATTTCAGTTATAGAGTTACTAATAAGGAGAAATCGCATGTGTTTAAAAAATTACGACGTAATAAAGGTGGAATGGGTACAAGAGTAAAAGCATTATGCGCGCACATCCTTCGATGTATAAAAACTATAACCCAAGAATTTTTGGCACTAAATTTGAGAGTTGGCAACTCTGTTATCCTATCCGAACCGTAAAATATAATTTATAAAAAAAAGTCTTTACCAAATGACAGTTTTCAAAGCCTAGTAATGTAAATTCAACGTAAATTGTAAACAATGAGTCTTCAAGATAGATTAAAACCCGTTTTAAAGATAATAAAAATAGCTACTTTATGGGGCAGTGGCGGTTTTTTTATTGCATACAATATTCGCCAAACTTATCAGTCAATAAATAGCATAGTAAATACGAAAGTGCTTGATAGTGAGAAAAAACAAACCGCCGAATATATTTATATCGACGATCCTGCCTATTCAGTTACTTTACAAATGGAACAAGATCGAGAATCCAGACAATCGATCGGTCTAGTGCGAATATGGAAGAGTTTAAAACATTCTTTGGCTTGGAGACTGCTGTGGTTGTGTAGACACGGCAACAGGGAGCAAAGGAATATAGCTATAGAACAACTCGCAGCATTTAAGCACAACAAGAGTTGGGATTGTTTTAAGTTGGCTCAGGCCCTAGACAAAAATACTGCAGTATTGCTCGCACGCACACGTGGCGCTGACCTCCGTTACTTCCTCCCTCCGCCGATACACGTGCGACGTGCGGCTCTGACCACGGAATTGCTTTCTTTCAAGCTAAGGGATATAATTGTCGCTGCACAGAGCGTCAACCCACACAGCTGCATACAACATTTTCTATCCAAATATTTTGCCAACGTGCAGGAGCAAGCCATGGAGGCTGACAGTATACCAACCAAACCAGACAGAATTAATGAGAGAGACCTGTGCCTGCTGTGTCTCGATGCTCTCCATCATCATATTAGTTTGTTCCATACAAAAGAATATAAAGATGATACATCTGTAAAAACTGTAATTAATTTAGGCCTATTGCCAAAATTAGCTGAGCTTATGTTAAGGAATCGTAACGATGTGGACCTAGATATGGCAGTGTTGAGAATATTTACTGTATTAAGCGTACATTGTGATTTACTTACAGATTTTTTCCAAAACGGACTCATTGGTGAACTATCACGTTTACTTAGATCTAAAGATGTCCGTCTGTCCAGTTCTGCTGCAGTTTGTTTAGCTAACTTATCAGGTGAACACTGCTACCGGCCAGGTTTGTATCTCTTACATCCAATATACAGAACAACCACTCCACCGGCCTGTGATACTCTATTGGTACACGGACTTAGAGGGGGAGTGTTTGTGACCTGGAGACAAAGGGACAGAAAGTGTGCTGAGCCTCTTGGAATAATAGATGTTACTGTATCAGATATAGACTGTGACCCATGCCATGAAAAAAATGTTGAAAAAAACAAATATTTGGATCCAGATTTGCAACAAGTGATGGAAGATCTGATAGAACTAGAAGATGAAGCTTTATTGGCCGAAATAGATGTTGTCCTTCATGATCTCCCAACAGATGCTAAAAGGGAAACTATGGGTGCTTATGAGTATACTGCAAATAAGAAGAGATTAGCATTAATTCAAGAGGACCAAGACCACTGCAACTATACATTTTGTTGGCCAAAGGATTGGCTTCCGAAAGACTGTGATAATTTAAGGATAATGGGTGTAAATTATTGGAGTACTTTATCAGAGTGGTTGGAACGATGTCCGCTTCAGACGGCAGACATAGCAATGAGAGCTGCAGACTTGGCCTCTGTTTTAATTGATGCTGGTGTAGGGAAGAAAGATACCCCAGTAGTTTGGTTGGCTCATTCCATGGGTGGTTTGATTGCAAAACAAGTCCTTATAGAATCAGCGCAAAGTACGGATACAGAATTTAGAAATTTGTCCTCTAATACGAGAGCTGTATTCTTTTATAGTACTCCACATAAGGGTAGTTCTTTAGCGACTATGCCACGCGCGGCTGCCGCTGTTCTTTGGCCATCTGGTGATGTAAGGCAACTGCAGGTTAACTCACCAGTTCTGCTTGAGTTGCACAATACATTTATTAAATTTGCTGACATGTTTGGATGGGAAACAATAAGTTTTGCTGAGTCTGTGCCTACTTTGGTTACTGCATTCAAAGTTCCTATACATTTTGTTGAGTCAGTTTCAGCAGATTTGGGGCGTGGTGTCTTTTATCAACTGCCATTGGACCACTTATCAATATGTAAACCAGCCACCCGCCAGTCCATTTTGTACACAACTGTATTAGAGGTGATACAGAAAGTTACTGCTAAAGACATTGAGTTGAAATATTCAAGTCCATTTGTGCAGTATCTAGTTGGACTGTTTTGGTGGTTGCCCCGAAGCAAAGCTAAGCAAGTAACGGTGACTTTAGATGAGACACAGAGCAATGATGGTCTCCGTTGGTTTGAACAGATACTCTTAGAAGCCTTCACTGATGGTTTTACTGACTAATTCATCAAAATCAATAAATTCTTTATATTAAATTTACTCTCATACCTTCTCTTAAAAGCCATGACTGATCAAAAAGTTGATTGATTTATTAAAATAAGTAACCATACTACAATGAGCTCCACATAGATATTATAAAACCATGACAAGTCCCTGCACTTAATTATTAATGTTTAATTAATGGGCTCTACACATATATCAACATTGTTAGGAATAGGACGAGATGTTTCAAAAATATTATATCAGTATTATTTTCGTTTACAATGTTATTATTTATTTTATTGCTAAGTAAGCATTTTTTTGTTTCTAAATATTTACCTACTTTTAACTGTAGGGGTATGCATTAATAATTTTTTAGTTGTTACCTTACTAGTTAATTAGTATTTTCAGAGGTTGTATTTTCTTTCTATACAATTTGTTGGTTAGTATTATAGGTGATAAGAAGTTGTCACTTTCTATTTTTATAGTTAAAAAATATACTCTGTGATCACTACTCTAAAAACTGTTTTTATTACCTTTAAAAAGAGTTCCTCAATTGAATGTTAAGCTAATATTCAAGTGTGTACTAGTTTATTTTTTATGATGGAATATAGAATGATCCATCCCATCTAGCACACTGCACCAAGAGACCAGCATCACGCTGGCCATGGCCGGTCACAAGTGAAAGACGAGGTGAGGTCAGGTTTTAAGGGGGACTGCATGGAAGTCGGCTAGTTACTTTTGGTAACAATTCTTTCTATCCCTGAAAATATGGAGGCATATGTTTTCTTCATTTTATGTTATTTTCGTAAATATTTAGGATAATGGAATTACCTGAACATAAATATAATATTATCATTTTTGTTTTATAATTGTTTCTAATGTTCTGTTGTCATTAATAAGTAAATACTAAGAAATAAATAAAATCCCAACGCAGGTCAAAAATTTACAATATTATTTATTAAAAGTGGCATCTGGCGGATAAGTCTTACTACTACACCAGTAAACAATATGATTGCTTTAAACTTTATTAAGGATTGCATAAAAAGGTGAACAGATGGCGCTGAACGTAGAATTTTAAAGATTTATATTTTATTAGTTTGTTAATTTTTATTTTAATAACAATAACTTCATTATTATTAGTTTTTACTAGATATAGGTAATGTATAATACATCTTACAAAAAGAAAATCGAAGCCAAACTATAGTATTTTGTACAAAGTAGGTTGGTAATAGCAGGTGTTGCAAATAACATATTTAGTGGCTGTTGGCATTTACCACAAGATGGTGCCACCTGTGTCATTATTTTAAATGGTTTCGCTTTGAAGTAAAATATTTATTCTTAGACAGGAATCGATTAATAGTACCCACCTCACACTATAAAGTATCTATTAAATTTATAAAGATATACCAAAAGCTGAAAACAAAATCAGATACATAAAACTATTCGTGGGGTGATTTGTTCAACGTAGTGATCCTTCTTTTTAGTGCTCTAAATATTTTTAAAAGCAGGCACGCATCGTGCTCTATTGACCTACATTCATAAACTCCATCATTAAGTAACAACAGCATTAACTATACTACATGCATCATGTATATGTTGTAATGTCGAATTTTATATAAAAATATATTAGTAACGGCGTTTTTCGCAGATTTCTGTACAATTTCATTTTTTCATTTTTATCTTCTATCTATAGGTATATGATGACCGTGTCTCTCTCTGTTTAGCAGCGTGAGTAGCCCCGTTTGTTATAGTATTTGTTGTGTAGGTGTCGGTAGGTAGCTATTTATAATAACAAGTGTAATAGTCGCTTCATGTGTGGTTGGTTGCATGCAGTGTGAGCATACTGTAGTAGTAGGTAGCTGGTAATAGCTACAGAATTAAATTCTCGACATAAACGACACGACACGACACGACACGACACGAATTAGGTCAATGGTCCGCATCGTACGTACCCCGAGCGCCCGCCCCCCTCACACCGCACCTCATCCGCGACCTAAGCCTGAATTCCTTTACGATTGTTGACATTAATATTTTCTTCATGACGTTATTGATTTAGAATTACTGTTGGTAGGTCGCACAATGGTCGAAACTAGACTGTAATATATTTTAATTATATGTTTGAACACTATTAAGGTTCCACTGTTAAAGAGTTCTAACTATGTGTGCTACTGGTAATACACGCCACACTACCAATGTGTAATGTTTTTTTTATTTTTATGCATAATTTTAATAAATACTAAGCATTTTGCACTCCTTCTCTATATATCTTCAATTTTCAATTTTCGTAGAAATTTCGTTATGAATATTTCATATAAAAATGTCAACTGAAATAATAGGTAACAAACAATGGATATTTTTTAAATCGATTGTTATCGAAGATATAGTTTCCTAATAAAATAAAAAAAAATCTAATTAATTGTAGCAATAGCCAAGTGTTTCTATGAACGTCATCATAGATAGATGAAGTCGCGCAGAGAAGCCGCCCCTTAAAGTTTCTGGGTCATCATTGAAAATCCTCCAACCCAATCCATTTAAGGGGTTTGTTTCTGTGTTCGATGGATCCCTTGTCGTGGGTATGTAGGTCGGCACCTGCATAAAATACAACTCGATTCTAATTAGTTCCCAACGGATGCTTCCGTTCGCTCCTTGAAGTTGAAGGCCTCTATTAAATACCACAATAAAATATAATACAATATAAATTCCTCAGATATATTATTATCTTCTTTCAAAAGAGGATAATAAATGTTGCCTGTTTACCCTTTGCAGTTATTGCTCCGAAACTCATATAATGAAATTTCTAAACCTAATGTAATCTTTTAACATTTGACGAATCCTCTCACGGTACAAAAATTTATATTCATGAGTAAGTATGATTGTTTGTATCGGTCTGGGTATTTTCTATGTATATTATGTATGTATTTAACATATCTATGTATTTGAATCGTTTGTCTATAAGTCGTAACACAACACTGCTTTGGTTAGCTTGGGATTTGAAAATTATGTTATCAGCTAGTAACTAGAACTAAAGATATTTAGTAAATAAAAAAATCTAAGATAAGACTCGACTTACTAACACCTTAAAAATGGAGATTAGATCTCTAATCGTAAGTGGCAAATATAGATACTGCTATATTTTCTAGTGTTTAGTTTTATTTAAGTTATCGCGGGATGTTTCTAGAATGTGCCACTCGAGCAGCTTTGAAACACCTCACCAAACGCACACCTCTGAAAATTGCGTACCAGTTTTACTTTTATTTCAATAGTTCTAAAATTCCCGGCTATACTGTTCGATTTGAACATGAAATTGCTCTTAAACAGAGTTGACTGACAAAAAAGTGCTACATAAATATCCAATAGTGTTTGATACCTATTGGGGGCCCCACGCGACCACCACGCAGCCATTTCAATATGGACGCAACTAGCTGTGCCCGCGACTTCGTCCGCCTGTTATAGTGAACTTAGCCAAATAATGAAACATAAACAATTATCAAAACCAAAACAGCCAAAGATAAAAGTTACATCATCCTAGCTTCATAAATGACAGTTTTCCATACAAACTTTTTTGCTAAGTGTAAAATTAATACAATCTTTGAATGTCATATTTATTTATATTTAATCAACAGCTTAAAACATACGTATCAAGCTTCTTGCATTAAAAAGTAGCCAGGTTTTCAGGGTCTAGATTATCTGTGTACCAAATTTCATGTAAATTGGTTTGACTTGAAAGCGAGACAGACAGAGTAAGTTTCGCACATATAACATTAGTGAGGATAAATGCAGACCAGCGCACATTTCACAATGGAGACGACCAGCCAGCTCAACATCATCCACGGATCACTAAATTCTCACTTTGTATTCTCAGTAACTACGGCGATTGTGAAAGGTCAAAAGACGCATGGTCCGAGTCGGATTTTCACTATCGAATGTAATATCTTAATATCATCTAGAAATATTTTATTACGAAATTGACCTTTACGCAAAATATGAGCAATAAGTACATCTTGTTTAGTTCAATTCATTATTAATTAGCATTAGTACTGTGAATGGACTAAACAGTAAGCAACATAAGCCATGACATATTGCATGGTCACTAAAAATATTTATACTCACATTTAAATGTAATAATTATAGTACTATAAAAAAATAGGCGTGATGCACAGCAGTTATTTCGTCAGCCCTTTTTCTTTCTTTTCTCTGGAATTCAAATAAATGGAAAGAACTAGCAGCTGTCTTAGATAGTCAACTAATGATCGTAATAAGTTTAGGCACAGATAACATAGTACGTTTAGGTAAGTACTCCAGCCTGAAGCAGGTCATGATGCTGGAATGGTCCGCGGACTGGTTCACGTTCCCGTGATATCGTTATACATCTCTCTCTCTCTCTCTTATAACGCTGTTATTGAATCCTTCAAGCGTAACGTGAAAAATATGATTAGAATTTTCAATCTGCTTTCTTTTTTATGTACTTCATAATAATCGCTGGCTCGTTAGAAATGAGATGTTATAATACGTTCATATTCTGTATTAGCGTGACTTTTTGTTTTATTACTTTTTCTTGTAAAAAATTGTGAAAACCGCGACCTAAGCCATTTCGCCGTTTCTGAGATTAGCGCGGACAAACATACAGACAAACATCAAATAATAGTTTTTCCATTATATTTTTAATTTACAGATCAGTTTGTTAAATGTATGTATACATTTGTTAGTAAAAAGACGGATTAAAGAACACACGGGAGCATTGTTAGAGGTTTATGTGACCCTGTATTCATTTATAGCATCCAAATTGATCTTTTCTGAAGAGAATTACAGAAGATCGATCAAGTGAAATTGGTGAGAAATTGCGGAACAATATAGAAAAAAGATTTCAGCACCATACAGTAGATCGCATTTATATATTGCCTTTAATTGTTCCTGTTTAAATAATTACGATTCTGCCAGTAGTGCTGATGCGCACTATTGCTATTATTTTCAATAAATAATAACAAATAAAAGAAAACCTTTTATAATCAATATACATACCAAATATAACTATGCAGGACCAGAGAGAAAGGATATGCGACACTTCATTCGGTATAATTTGATACATGCATAATATATGTACATAGAAAACAACTAAGACAGACTCGTTTGTATTAGTGTGTTGCGGGGATCGTACCTACGACCGTCGCGCCGGAACATAGGCCACATAAGGTACACAAGGCACATAAGGCGGTACCAACATCATAACATCACAATAGAAATCACTACAGATTGATTAACTAAACCACTTTCGAGTGTCTCTGCACTCCCTATGATTGGCTGGTACAGAATGCTAATAACATTAAGCCGGCCTATTGTACATTTCAATTAAATTACCGATTTACCGAGACCACTTAGGTTCCAGCGTGTCGTTATGAATTCCCTGTCGATGGCGAGCGGTGCGATGGTAAATGGTAGCCGTGGGCGTCATGTCAAACAATTCATCAGAACACAGTCCATTGTATATTCGGTAGAACACA